TCAGAATATTGTTGCTCTGCAAACGCTGCTCAGAGCTGTTTGACAAGTCAATAGGTGACCTATGACAGAGTTTAGGGTTTTGAAATGGTTTAAATATTGGGTTAAAAAATCACGCTGGTCGCCAAATAGCGGCATCTGAGGCTGCAGCGGAGAAACACTGCTTATTTTATGTCATGCTGTTTTAACCCGTTTGAGAATTACTTGAGCAGTGTTTAAACTGAAATATTCTCTGTTAGGTCAAGCTCTACTGGTCTTTTTTTTGTATTGCTCATTAAAAAGAAAGCTTCCACACTGGAAGTTCACAGGTGTTACTGTAAACAGGGGCAGTATCTTATATTTAAAAGATGAACAGTAAGTAAGATGGCTCTTACTTTGCTTCTTAAAGCTTTTGGGTTTCTAGGCAGTAAAAAGCTCAGTTTGGGGTCTGATGTGAAAAGCCTATCTGATATTTGTACCGTATGTTCCTAGCCCCGGACGGCTGTGCGTTTGTTAGCACAGGTACACAGTTGCCACAGCCTGGTAGAAGCTGACACAACAGCTTACCACGAATAATGTCAAACCTCCTTACTGGTCCAGGCCCCTCCTAGCACCCCCCTTTCCTGTAAGGTAGTGAGCAGTCCTGCTGTGCTGTCAACAGTTTGAGGAAGCTGATTTGTCTGAAAGCAAAACTTTAATTTGGGGGCGGGGGTCGGCTGAGCCCTTAGCCAGCTCCGGTGTCGACCTGCCACGACGCAGTGGTGCCTGTGCCGGCCCGAGCAGAGGACAGCGTGGGAGCAGGCAGGTGGATGTTGTCCTGACGCTCTGTGCGAGTTCACTGCTAGTGTCGCTGCAATTAACTTGGTACACTTGGGGTTTTAAATACTGAAATGTGCAAGTGGTGCTCCACTGCTGGCCTTCAAATTTGGTTCTCTGTGCTTTATGCAGTATTTATGATCTGGGCTGTTCTTTTGTACGGAATATTTAACTGTATTGTAAAAAAAAAAAAAGCAGAATGGAGGTGTTTCTCATTTTGAAGCTTAGGTCTAATGTATTCTGAATTTTAAAATAATCATGTCATTCCTTTTCTTCAGTCCATAATTCACTGTTCTTCTAATTCTGATTAGCTAATATTTTCCGTATAAATCTTTCTCCCTGTGGTTCTCTGCTCTGGCCATGTGTTGTAACAGTAACATTCAGACCTGAACAACAGAGGTCTCCAGGGTGGTGTTATGCTCGTGCAGTTCAGCTCAGGAACGTTGTCACGCAGCTGAACTGAACCCTGTGGTGTGTGTGAGAATTTCACTCAATTTGGGGTTCAGCATACAGGTCTAACCACATGTTAACATCCTTTTTGTCCTTAACAACTGTACATTTCCTTCTAATGCAGTCTCCTGGAAGGTGGAACTGTATTGAAACAGGTCTAATTTCACTAGAAGTTAAGAATTTGGGTTCAAATTACACTGAAGCTTGGGGTAAAACTTGAAGGAAGGTGAGTTAACTCCCAGGATGCTTACTGAGAGGTTTTCCAGGCATAAGTGAGAGCACAGACATGTTGTGAGAATCATATTAAGTGGCATGTGAAGCAGGCAGAGAAGGAACTCATTTGTCACGATAATACATGAATAGATGTGGTAGCTGATAAAGATTTTTGATGTGATCTGAATGGAGATGTATTTTTAAATCATGTTTTATGCTTTCAAAATTCATTAGTTTGTATTAAGTGAGATGACTTGGAGCTAACACATCTGCTCCTAACTTCTCTTAAAAGAACAGGAAGGGGATTGACAAACTGTATAGGCTTCGTGAAAGCATTAAAAAAGAAGGAACAGAGAGTAAGACATCAGCTCCTTCAAATGTAACCAAGAACCACTGTAAAGCTTAGAGTATAAGAACAGTTATACTCAGAGGAACCAAAAAATCCATCTGGTATCCCCCGGCTGTGGGGTATTTAGCCAAAGAACATAACAAGATAAGTGTAAGATGGTTCCTCCTAGTTTTTAGCTTTCTGTAATTTCAGAATTTATTTCCTGTATTAGATCTATATCTTTTTTTTTTCTGAAATCCCTTGAAGGGCAATACCATGAATCCATGATCTTTTTGGTGCATGTTTACACTTTGGCATCTACAGTCTTGTTCCTGGCAGTTTCCCAATTTAATTATGAAATCCTATGGAAAATGTTCTCTTTTTTTTTTTTTCCCCCTCATTTAAACTTTTTAAAATATGCTAGCTGACAGCATGAAAAAGGAAGCTTCATCTGTGGGTGGATTAGAGAGATGATAAATAATCCAGTCTGTGCCACTCATAATCCCATAGACCTTCACTTCCTTGATTGTTTCTAAGGTGAGGAGTCAATGTCTGTTTAGTTTGTTCTCTCAAGGAAGCTGTTCTATGCTTCTGAACATCCTCTGAACCTCAGAATAATCAGAATTATAAGAAATTTTCTACATGTGACCTTTTTAGATGTTTGGTGACCATGGCAGTTTGTTTTGTTTGTTCTTCTCTTAGTTCTGTTGGCTTCCAGCTATTTGAGCTGATACATGAAGATGGCTGGGAAAACAGTGATTAGAAAGATCTTTCTCAAGAAGTTAAAGGCAGTTTAGAAACTTATGATATGGATATTTGTGCAGTTGCAAATGTTTCTCTCATCACTGTCTGCAAACCAGGGCATGTATCACGGGTTTAAACAGAAGGTTTTAACTTCATTTAGTGGCACTAACAACCATAATCGAGCATAAGAAAGGTGATATGTCAGGATATAGTGTGTCTGATGTAATTTATGAATGCCAAAGTCACAAGCCATAAATTGATTGATAAATGTGTGCACTGTTTAAAATGGTGATGCTCTTCCAAAAGCTTGCTGGTTTTTACCTAATCTTTGATTGTATTAGGCAGATCTTTGATTTACTGAACCCAGGGGGGGTGAGATTTTTGCTAGCATCCTTTGAAGTTAGGACTGTATAAAAACAGCATCAGCCCCAAGTGTCTTCAGATTATATAAACTCAGTCATCTGAATTTTCAGTTCCCAACAATGGGAGGTGGTAACTGCTTCTGCCGACAGTGCCTTGGTGGGGACCAACCTTACAAGGTTGGAGCATTACTTCACATTTGGACCAATTAAATGCATTTTCCCCTATTACTGTTCAGCATCATGATCCTTCTCCAAACCTTGGTTTTGACTTTCTATGGCAAATTGAATTACATTCTTGTTTGCCCTTTTTCTGGAACTCTTAATGCTCTTGGCGAACAGCACATTCCTTTAGGGCTTCTCAGATAACTTCCATTCCTTGTGAATACAAATAACTTCCTATCCATTGTTGAACCAAGTATTGATGTATAAGGACGAGTTCCTTTTAAGGCCGTATCACCTTCAGGTCTTGAAGAACTCCTGGTCAGAGATCTTGCCACGTGTGTCCTGGAAGTCTAGGTGTTCTGTCAACTAGATCATCCTTCCTTATGTGCTTCGTGGTTACTTGGGGGGAAAAAAAGAGATTTGTGAAGCATTGTTTCCTTTTGCACTATAATATATCTGACTACCTTCTGGCTTGTATTTCTCATACAAATTTTTTTGGTATATAGTTAAAAATACTCTGCAGTTACTTTGATGTTTCTTTAGAGGCCTTTAAAAAAAAAAAAAAGAGTAAACTTTTTTAAATTGCCCTTATAGCCTTTCCAGACAAAGAAATTGTCCTTACTTCAGTTATTAATCTCATATTTTTCCTTTTTTTCTTGAGGTACAACATACGCAATTATTAAAAATTTGGGCATGTAGAATATTAATCTGGGATCATGTGACTCAGAAGTAATTCCTTTTTTGTGGCTTTTGAGAAAACATTTGGGATTAACTCATGATTTAATGAATAAAAATCGGGTCCTTCACCTGCTTAGAAAATGATCTATAACAGGAATTCCTGAATAATCTCTACCTTGATTTTTATTTGCTTTATTAGAATTCATCGGAGCAATGTATGCTTTTGCTGCCAAAAGCGGGGTGGGTGGGGGAAGAGTTGGATGAGGTAGGGTGGGGAAGGGAGGCAGAAGCTGCATATTGAGTATCAAAGCAACTTGGAGGTTTATTTTAGACAGTGCCGTTCCATGAAAAACTGGACTCTGTTGAGAACTTAGCGCTCTTCCTCCAAGTGACTTGCAGAGTAAAATGGCACAGTTTGCTGTAGTAGATAGACAGTGAAATCACAAGTAGTTGCCTTACATTATAAGAAATTACACTGTAAAGGTTTGTGATACTAACATTGAGGCTGATCTGCGTGGTGTCTCTTAAATTGGCGCATGTGGATGATGCAACAGCATGGCTTGAATAGATGCTTATGTTCTCATGTCTTGAATCTGTTGGTTGTCTCTCAATAAGTTCACTTTTAACAGTCCTTTTAAAATTTAGCAGAATACTTTGAGGCAGATGTTTTATGAATAAAATTGCATGGTTTTGCAGTAGACTTAAATACTGGCTCTGTTAGCTCTAAAAGGCTTATTAATTGTAATGTCTACTTGTTTATTGTGAAGTTAGAGGCACTGTTTGCTCCTTTACAGTCCTAATGAATGTAAAAGCATTTCTATTCCTTTTTCTTGTAATCTGAAATTTACATTATTTCACTTGGGTATTGCATAGGAAACAATGCAGTCTTTTGGTACATAATATATACAGATATAAAAAATAACATGCATGTATAATTGCAAATAAGTATTTCTTATTAGAAGGGGACTAGAACAAACTTCTGAAGTAAAATTTTTAGTGTATATTTTCTTATTTAAGCTTGCATTAAGACCAAATATTCTTTGCTTCTAACAATGCTTACAGGTTCACTGGGCCTAATATTTAAAATTTTCTTTTGACTTCAGATGAATGTAACTCTTCTGTATAATTTTTTTTTTTTTTAAAGTTTGGGAATATATAAAAGTAATGAGAACTTAGGGGTTTACCTAGCCATGGAAAATTCTGATTAACACTTGTGGAATGCTTAAGAACCCAAATATAAATGTCATAAATTAATGCCTCTTTCTCTGTAGGGTGCTGGTCAAGACAAACTTGGAATATATGTCAAGTCTGTTGTGAAAGGAGGTGCTGCAGATGTGGTTAGTAATACTCTTTAACATCACAAGTTCAAAGGTAGAATGATCCTTTGGAAATAGTTTTTAATCCTTTGTTTACTAGTATGTGTGAATAATTGTTGTAATTTAGATCATGTTAGTGCTGGTATATGAATTTTCTTCTCTTGAATATGTAATTAGGATGGTCGTCTGGCTGCAGGGGATCAGTTGCTGAGTGTGGATGGTCGAAGTTTGGTGGGCCTGTCCCAGGAAAGGTATGGAATGCTTTCCTTGGGTGCCTTTTCATGAGGAAAATGCTAGAGTAATAATTCACTGAGAAGGGCTGAAGCTTGGTTTTTGCACTTTCGGCTTTGTCTTGGCTTTCTATAACTGACTATGGATAACATCATTAAGAAGTTCAACTGTTCATGTAGTATTTTCTGTATGTAATACGGGTTATCTATATAGATTTGTTTTACACACTTGGGCTTCAGTTGTGAGCAAATTAACTCTAACTTTTAATATTCTGGCTTCTGACCTTAAACTGCAGAAATTGGAAGTAGTACTTGCCTGTAGGTGTTGTCTGTTTAATAAGTGTATCTTCTAGTCATCATCATCTAATTTTTTCCAAAGTGGTTATTCAAGTATTAATCAGAAAAAGGAGTTTTGTCAAACAGAAGATAACTAGAATAAATGTGAGAAATCATGGCATATAAGCTGATAATAAGGAGAACTAAGTATACAGTGCCTAATGTTATTTTGTTTTGTTTGCTTTGGCTTTTATTGCAGGGCAGCAGAACTCATGACTAGGACAGGTTCTGTAGTAACACTAGAAGTAGCAAAACAAGGAGCAATTTACCATGGTCTGGCAACCCTGCTGAATCAACCATCCCCAATGATGCAAAGAGGTAAAAATGCTAACATTACTTATGTCAAGAATAGCTTTAGAAGTCTTGGAATGCAGAAAATAGAGTAATTCACAGTAGCTTGTCAAGTATCACCAAAATATTAAATCAGAGAAGAAGCATAATTGCACAGAAAAGAAGCTTTTCCTTTCTTATCAAAAGTTCATCTGATTTTAAATATTGTTTGAAATTATGCTACTCAAATCATCAAGGAATGCTTTGCCCATGAACCTTTAAAAAAATTAAATTATGCATTTAAACGCAGCTCTGTTTTGAAGTGATTTTTATCTTGACAAATAGAATATCACAAATACAAAGTTGGTAACTTAAATGGCTTTTCTATCCCTTTCGTAAAAGCCTCTCTCCTCCTCTCAGAATACGCCTTCCTGGTAACCAGAGAGTGCAGTGTAATCACTAAGAGACAAATAAATAGACACAGAAGGCCCTGGAACATGTTTTGCCATTGAATTTTTTAAATTATTGTTTTAAACTAGAACTATTGAAATGTGTCTCCTTAAGTTTCTGTGTCTGATCATAAAAAGTTGTTCTTGGATGTTTCTCCAGTGTTACATTATCCTGCTTCAGTGAACTAACTCCAAAAGACATAGTCAGGTCTTAGGTAAATCAATGTTACAAAGGAAATAATTATGTAAAGGATGACCTTTTCCACAACAGTATAGAAAAGAATGGGTTAAAAGAATAAATCCTTATTATCACAGTTCACAGCACCATCCCAGATGCCATATGCCTCTGAGCCAGCAAGAGACTTTTCTGTAAAGCACATTTGGCTTTTCCAAATACTGTGGTACCTTTGCAGAAGCTCTTTTGAAACATACAGATCAAAGGAATCCTGTATAGTTGTTACAAGAATGGGATTGTGTAGCTGAAGAAGTAAAGATTCTAAATTTTAGCACTGGTCTTACTGGGAGTTCATTTTTAACTACAAAAGCAGGGTAGCTCTGGTTTGAAAAGGAGTATGCTAGGTAGTCGTTAAATATAAGTGAAAGGGGGAAAATACATGTCCAACTGTTACAGTCTTTGACCGCCGTGGCTCAGGTAAACCCCGACCAAAGAGTGAAGGTTTTGAGCTGTATAACAACTCCACTCAAAATGGGTCACCCGAGAGCCCTCAGCTGCCATGGACGGAGTACAGCGAACCAAAGAAGCTGCCAGGGGATGACAGATTAATGAAGAACAGAGCTGATCATCGCTCCAGTCCCAATGTAGCAAGTAAGTAAGGTTTACCCTCCTTTTAGGGGCGGGTGCCTCCTCCACCAGTTTTGGAGGCAGTTGAATTCAAAAAGGGGATGATTGTTTTTAAAAACGGATTGAGTTTAAAATGCCGTCATAGTAGTAACATTTGGAGCAAGCCTCTCGTTAGAACTATTCAAAGGAAAAATCACAGTCACTCTGTGAATACTATTATTTTATTAAGTTATGTAAATTATTATTAACAGTCACATAAATGCTTCCTTTAACTTTCCAACAGATCAGCCTCCAAGCCCCGGGGGAAAGAATGCTTATGCATCTGGAACTACCACCAAAATAACCTCAGTCTCCACTGGAAATCTTTGTACAGAGGTCAGAAATGGCAAGCGAAAGGCGGGCTGTTAAGCTTCCCTTAGCTCTGAGCAGTGTCAGTGTGCCTGAGTCAAACCAGTGTCTTCACTGTCTGGGCACGATGCTGGTGCTAGTTACTGGGTGGGGGTTTTGCTTATTACAGCTAATGAAAGATTGGGATGGCTTTGAGCGATACTGATTACATTTTGTCATGAAGTTGTCCTTGCGACTTCTCAGGTTTGTGCAATATTGCGCACTTGTTTTCAGACCATAAAAACATGAGTCGTAACCACAGTTTGTATTTTACACCGGACAACCTATTTATCTCCTGGCCCAGACAAACAATGCTCTTATGAGCAAAAAGAAAAGATTTGGAAAATGCATGTTCAGAATAACATTCTGTACAGATCTGTGTGATCAGAAAATTCTATCTTATGTTTTTTCTACCTTTTTCAGGAACAGACTCTGCCCCCACGACCTGAAGCTTATCCCATCCCAACACAGACCTACACTAGAGAGTATTTCACATTCCCAGCTTCGAAGTCCCAGGATCGAATGGGTCCAGCTCAGAGTCAGTGGCCAAATTATGAAGAAAAACCACAAGTCCAGGCAGAAAGTAATCATTCGATCAATTCTACAATGCAGGTGAGAAGTAATTCCTTTCAGTATAATAATTAAAAAAAAAAAACCCACCACAACAACACCCCAGAAAAAAACTGCTTGCCTTCCTCTCCCAGATTGCTGGAGACATTTCTGCAGAAGACCCAACTCTGTTATCTCTGAGCTGTTGAGGACAAACTATACAACTGTATAGTTGGAGAACAACTGTACTTTTGCCAAGTTTGTCTTAGGTTCAGAAATCCTACTCTTTCAGGGGTTTTGTGTGTGGTGGGTTTTGTGTTTGGGGATTTTATTTCTCACTATAGAATTTCTGTTATTAAGTTCTGCAGACCTGTTATCTAGGATGTTTTAATCATTGAATCGTCTACCTGTTAGGGGTATTGGGGTGTAGATGGTAGTAGGGTTTGTCTTGTAAGATGTGTTGTGTCTTTTCAAAAAGTAAACAAAACCTTTCACTCTTCCAATGAGGTTTACATGGAAAAACCTCTGTCTGCCAGGCGCATTGTTTAAGTACCAAAGTGAAGTATTGAAAATGCAATAAAACAGTACTTTGAGACCTGTCCAAGGTCTTCACTGACAACCTTGTTCTCAGTTAAAAAAAAAAAAAACAAACCCTAAATAAATTCAAGCTGCATCTGTTATCAACGTGCGGATGCTTCTGGCCCTGAAATGAATGTATTCACACTGTACCTTTATAAATTAAGAAAATAACATTGTTCCTCACGTTGTAAATGAGGTCTTTACTCAAATCCATGCAGGAAATTAAATCTAGATCTACTAAATCCAGTCACTGGATTATCTTTTTCTCTAATTCTCCAGAGACTTAAGAGAAAACATTTTTTTGCTATTTTTTACTTTTGTGATGAAAGCAGACCCTTACAGCAGGGTTTTACTGTTGGAAAAGCAGTGTCAGGTAAAGTAACTTGAGATTGGGTCCTAGAAGCAAAGTAAGGGTTGATTACTGATTGCTTACACATGTATCTGCCAGTGAATTCAGTAAAAAGTCAATTGAATAAAAGCTTAGTCCTTTTTTCTTTTTTTTCAGTGTTACAGGGATCAAATCCCAATTGTTTCAGCTGTTAAGAAAATAGATGTTATACCCAAAGTAGGATGGTGATTTTGAAGGAGAATGTTGCACGTTAAATGACACTGGGAAATAGCTATGGAAATATTTTGCTGAGTTTCTGTGCTGAACTCCTTCGTGTTTCATGATTTCATCTCACCTGATCTCCAACCCCTGCCGTGCTGTGAATCTGGGAATCTGCATAGCTGACCTCTAGGAGCTAGTATCTCCAGAGAGGGGTTACTACCTATTTGTCCTAATGGGAGGAACTGCTGCCCGGACATGCATCCCTGCCCTGCTTAAGACAGGCTTAAGTGAGTAGCTTAGACAAGGTGGTTAAAACTGGAGAGATGAACCCCATCCGTTAAGGTTGTTGACAGGTACAGAATTTCAGCTGGGATCTTCAGGCTGAACGCAGTGGCAGAAAAGCACTTTCTTACAGCCAAGATCTAGGACCTTTAGCTCCCTACAAGCACCGAAAGAGTATGCATTTTTTCCCTATTTTACAACAGTTCTTCTAAGTTGAAAATTAGAGGGAAATAGGCTTTTTTAAAACAAAAAAAAATTGTTTTAATCTTTACAGCAAGAACTGGGCTTTAAAAAAAGAAAAGCTGCCATAAGCTACTGAGGGATGTGAAAGGCCCGTTTTCTGTCCCGAAGGCATCAGCAAACTGTTTGTTTAGTCGCATCTTTACAGGAAGTCTAGCACAAATGGCTGTGTGTTCGGCTCTGCTGGACTAATAGAGCATAAGAAATACACTTGTTCATCTCAAAGAAGGCATTCTTTAGAGGTCATGGTTAAGGTCATTGATGGGGGGGGAAGAAAGATGTTTGCTTTGTTAGTCTTCTCTCCGTTGTCGATCATCGGTACGTTGTGTGTGCAGCGCTTAGTTCAGCTAACGTTCAGAGTATGAATATTTGCTTCAAGAAAATCATTAACAGATTCAATTAGCCTAATTTATGGTCCAGGATTCCCGTTCAGGAGGCTGTACAGTGCAGGGCGACCCTGAGCTCGTATGGAAAAAGAATTGGTGTTGGATGCACTAGAAGAGTGGCAGAAGCACAGACTAGTCCACCCTGGCCCCAAGAGCAGGTGCTTTAGACCTGAGTGCCCAGACTCGGTACCCGGGAATGGTTCTGTCATAGGGAGAGCTTCCCGCGGGCCGTCTTGCCTGTAAATGGGGGAGGGTGGGAATCAGCTCCCCTGTCTCTTCTTCAGCAGCCTTACTGTTTGCCTTCCCAACAGGAAGAATGTGTAGTCGGGCCAGCTGAAGGCTGACTGGCAGAGCTGGAATGCCGGAGCTGCTGTTCCGAGCTGCCAGGACTCTCGCGCTCGATCAGGGGGGAGGGGGTGCCAGGGATAGTCCTGAGGAATTGCGCGAGCGGGGGAGGCTTTCAGCTCAAGCTCCATTTTGTGCTGATCCTTCCTCCCAGCCCAGCTTTCCAGGCATTTCAGGGGTTGCAAAGTCCTCCGTGATTTGAAGGAGTTAAAAGGACTGAGAAGAATACTTTACTGATGGTTTTGGGAGACTTACCGGGCATGGAAATGCTGAAATTCACTAAAGTAATTACCTTCAGTGTTAAGAATGTGGTTTGTGAGCCATTTTCAAACATGTTTTAATATAGATGGACTATGAAATACATGCCTTGTTTAATTTTTTCCAGCGTGTGGCTCGTTCCCAGGAAGAATTACGAGATAAAGTTTTCCAGCCAGAAAGGAATCGTTTGGAAGTTGTTATACGGAAGGATGTGGAGTACATCGATCGGAAGTCGGACAGCGATCAGTGGATTAATTCGTCCGTGGATTCTAGCACATCTAGCCAAGAACACCTGAACCATTCGTCTAAACCGGTCTCGCCTGGCTCTTGTTTAGCTAAAAGTGGACCTGGCCGTTGGAAAACTCCAGCTACTAGCCAGCCAACTCCAGTGGCCATTTCCCAGCCCATCAGAACAGATCTTCCCCCTCCACCGCCACCGCCTCCAGTGCATTATGCAGCTGAATTTGATGAACTCCAAATGGATTTGCCTCTGCCTCCCCCTCCTCCTCCAAACCAGATAGGAGCACAAGCATCTTCCCAGGTAGCCGCTGCTGAGCGTAAAAAAAGGGAAGAGCATCAGAGGTGGTATGAGAAGGAAAAGGCACGCTTAGAAGAAGAACGAGAGAGGAAACGTCGTGAACAGGAGAGAAAACTGGGCCAAATGCGTTCTCAGCCGCTAATTCCTGCACAGCCTGTGGTTCCCCCTGTTTCCCTTCAACAAGTGAAGTCGGAAAAGCCTTCGACATTGCAGAGGTCTCAAGAAACGGTCATTCGAGAGCTGCAGCCCCAGCAGCAACCTCGGACTATTGAGCGGAGAGATCTGCAGTACATTACTATCAGCAAGGAAGAACTGTCCTCTAGCGATAGCCTCTCTCCCGATCCCTGGAAACGGGATGCGAAGGAGAAACTGGAGAAGCAGCAGCAGATGCACATTGTGGACATGCTGAGTAAAGAGATTCAGGAACTTCAGAACAAGCCCGATCGCACAGCGGAAGAAAACGACCGCCTGCGCAAGCTCATGCTTGAGTGGCAGTTCCAAAAGCGGCTTCAGGAATCAAAGCAAAAGGACGAAGATGATGATGAAGAGGAGGATGATGATGTGGATACTATGCTCATCATGCAGCGACTGGAAGCAGAAAGAAGAGCAAGGGTAAAAGGGGATTCCTACACAGAAGTATTGTAAATGTGTATCTTGGTGGGTTCTCTGGCTTTGTCCAAGTATTTTGACCTTCTTACAGGGTAAAGGAGGATGAGGCTTTCTGAAATACCGTGAGTTTTGAAACGGCTAACTTAGAGTGGCCTCACCAGTTAAGTGGTGTGTTACGAGAGTATCGTAGCTACCTGTCAGAGAGTCCAAGTTGGCAGTTGAATTTATTATTCAGGTTGTGGGGAAAGAAACTCATTTTGGATAAAGGGATTTTACCATGTAGCTGGGGTAGGATTAGAAGGTTAAATGTGGCAGCAGTTTGCTTACAGGAAAGTCAGCAAAAACATTTGAAAGAATGAAAGTCTCTAGGAGATTCGGGAACAAAAAATAGTGTGATTTCCCTTGTCCCTCCCCCAGTATATTTACCTCTGAGCATTCTTGTTTCTAGTTCAGGACCTGAGCACAGGCACGGAATGCATGCTGTTTCCAGGAAAAAGCGAGCTGAACTTCTCCGAGTAGGGGCTGGGGCATAAGGCAGCTGCTGCCTCTACCTTTCCCACCACCACAGTGGTGACCCTGACAGTGCTGGGGGCATGAAGCATTAGGCTGAGCCATGTGATTTTTTTGGATACACCCTGTCCAGGGCTCCAGCTCCACGTACCTGGAATTTGCACGGCGTCCAGTTTAGTCAGTAGCTGACAAGGTTTGCTTTACCTTAGCTTCCATACTGTGACAGCTCATAACGCATCTGCTCACGCAGCCACATGGGATGGTCTCTCTTGGTGGCTGTTGTCTCTCAAAATCTGTTAAACCTGGCATTACTGGGAAACAATTTCTATAGGAGAATCTGTTTTTCTTTTCCGAACAGTAGCATGGATACCGAAGTTACATACCCATAGCTGTGCTTTGACAGGCTTGAAAACTAGCACTGTAATACGTTCCCTGTCTTCTGTTTGTTTATCTCAAAAAGTTGACTTAATTCTGTGATAAGAAGTTTTTTATTCTTGAGAAGTGTTTGCTCATGCTTATTTTGACATTCAGAAATAGCTGTCCGCTGGAGTAGTGTTTGAGTTCAGGATTGTCTTGGCAGCTTGACTTTTCTAAACTTAACTCTTCCCATATTTGCTGGGGTCAGCATTGCTTTCCTTTTTTCTCGTGGCTAACTTTATTACTGTGGAAAACAAAAGATACCTCAACCTTGGAAACTGGAGAGAGGAAAAGCTAAATGTGTCTTTGGCAAACAGGTTGCATTAAAGCCCAGAGTTGCTAACGTGTAATTTGTAGCACACAGGCAGTTACCGATGGGCATAAAAAAAAATGCATGTAAAACTGCCATTTTAACAAATAGTGTCTTTAATTTTACTGTAGCAAGGCTAAAAAGGCCACGTGTCATTAATAGAAAGCCAGTCGTATTGCATAACGTTGTATCAGTCCTTCTCCGCAAGAGCTGGGTTTAAAATAGTTCGTGCATAAAGTTCTTCCAGCATTTTGGAACATTCTGAAACTAAAAAAAAAAAAAGCCCAGCAGTTGTCTTGAACTGCAGTGATGTTTGCATTCTGGTTACATTTTGCTGTCTATACCGCTGGAGTTGCAATAAGTAGCAGTTCTGGAGAAGTACTGAGGGTTTGAGTAAGTCAAACAGGCGCTGGTAAAAACTTCAGATTATTTCATTGTTCTCATTTCTGTATTTCAGGATTATGTCAATTCAGTTCCTCGTTCTAAAGCAGCTGACTTAACAAATAAAAGAAAATGCTTTTGAAATAGCACACGTCTAACCTATCTTTATTTTCACTGTGCATCTTTCTTTTTTTTCCCTTTCTTACTACCTGCAGCAGACTGCTGTGCCAGCAATCTCTGTTCTAGATTTGGTATGTTTGTTTCTTTCTCTTCAATATCTCTTTCCCATTTCAATTCCTGATGTTATTAATAACCACCCTGTGTGCTTTGGATGATGATTGGGCATCTTCGGGTGTTCAAAAATCATTGTGATACAGTAAGCAGTAAGTTAACTGTAAGCATGCACTTGAATGTTTCCAGATGTGGTGACTCCTTTCCCTGTGTTTCCTTCCTTTCAGATGTTGTGTTCTGCTTGCAGGCTTGATTTGTTTGTTGTAGCAGTGGTCTAATATAGAACTGTGTATTTGATGGTGTGTGTGGCTGTGTGTGTAACATCTTATTCTAAGCACTTTGAAATGAACGAGCTGTGAGGTAAGATTTCCTCCCTTCCCCACCCCTGCCGGGTGAGCAGAAGAGCTCGAGCCACACCATTCCTTTCCAGTCTGAAGGGAAATTGTCCTGAGAGCCCAGTAATGCAGCACGTGCTGAAACTCTGTTGTTTACAGGTGTTACAATTTTCTCATTAAAGTCAAAATGGATTGTAAACTCAGAAATTGCTTCTGAACTAATATTTCCAAGTAGGTCACATAAACACGCAGTTACTACGTTACCATATAATTACATTTTCAGTTGCTTAATACCATGCTCTTGCATCTAAAACATGACAGGCTTTCAAATTGTGGCAGTAATTGCTGTGACTCCAACTAATTCTGTGTTTTATTGCTCTCGCTGGAAGATGGGTACATGGAAAAAAGAGTTCTGTAGTCTTCTCGATAAGAAATAGATCCCCTTCCAAGTCTATTGCTATATTGTTAGTATACCAGTGTGAAAGAAGGGTAATGCTTGCAAGTCCTTGTAGTACAATTAATTTGGGCTGCTGGGTAAAACTGTAAACGTGACTGTTAAAAATGTAAATTTGGATATGCGGCACTGCTTGCCTTTTTTTTTTGTTGTTGTTGGTTTTGTTTTGAAAAGTCATCTTGTAAAATGATTTTTACTCGGGTAGCTCAGTAAGTCTGCCTGAGGCGTTCCGTTTTGTGTCGGTGTGGTGCACCGGCGTTAAGCAGTTGGGAGCAGGGAAATGGGTGAAGCGTGTCATCTTTCTGAATTAATGGACAAGCCAGGAGTCAGGGATTTGTCAGGCTTAGTACCTATCAGTATTTTTTCTTATTCCTATTCCTGTATTTTTTTGCTTAAGCCTGGGTCGTGTGTGTCATCCCCCCCCCCCCCCCCCCCGGAGCTGCAGCTGGATAGATAAATTACTGTGCCACACAGGCTGTAAACTTCTGGATGTTTCTGTGACAGGAGATTGCAGAGGCAGACAGTATCATCAGCTTTAAGACTGGATTAGACAAACTCAGAGACATCACGCCTGAGTTTGATTGTTACAGCTACTCAGAGGATTACGCTGTACCAGCTGACGTCTCTAAGGACAGTGCTGGATGCGGGTGGGGCGCTGGAAGAAATGGCCACGCTCATGTGCAGCTCTGCATGCCGTGGTCAGAGACAGATCCACAGCCTGAACCAGTTGAGGAATTATGATGTTCATAAGCTTAGCTTTATAAAAAAGAAAGCAAGCTAATTCTGCAATAGATGGTGTTGAACCAGCAAAATACCTCTCTTTCCTAATATCATTATTTTCACACTGTTCACGTGACTTGCTGGGCATGGTTGTGTCTATCCTATACCACTTCATGTACCCAAGAAATTACTTCATAGTTTATAGAGGGGCAAAAGCACACTTGAGCATGCTCCGTGCTCAGTGCTGTATGTCCAGCGAACGTCGGTGATAGCTGTTCTGCTGATGGAAAAGTTGGTGAAGGGGGATGAAGGGTTGATGCGTGAATTGTCAACGAGGCTAGTGTTTGTCTTTTTAAATTCCCTGGGCCACTAAGAGGTCTGACCCAGCTTTAGTTGTCATGAACAAGTAGGTATAAATTTAAGGTTCTTCTGGGAACTGCTTTTAAAGCATTCTATGGAGTTCTCGGAGAAGCAAATTTTGTCTGGAATCTGAGACTTCTGGGTGCCTGCCAGTCCTGTGGATTCGTTAACGTTTCTGATAAGGAGCTGATGGGCTGACCCACTGCGAGGAGCAATAGCTCAGCAGAAAGGTGACCTGCCTTGCCCTCTCGTAGGTAGGAATAGCACCGTAAGCATATGGTGGTGACCGGGGGACGGGAGCAAACTGTTGGCACTTCGGTAGAGCCGGGACAAAGCAGGGGGAAGGAATTAGTGCTTTGTGCTTAGCTGCTTCACTCCATCACGGCTGGGAGAATGCTCTTCTCCATCACTCTGGCCGTACGGATCAGTTGTTGCTGCAGTTGTTACAGTGCAAATGCGCTGCTTTGGCCAAGCCCTGGAAGTACCGTAAACCACACAAAACCATGGCTTTTAAACTAGAGAAAAACAAATTGGGATAGAGAAGTACTGAATCCAAATATTCAACCTGGGACTCTGACAGCCCTCTCACTAGAAACGGGACGCCAAGCTAGCTTTCCTCGGCGTCCCGAGAACTGGGGAGTTGGGTTGGACGCAGACAAACGCCAATGCCTTCAAGCTCTCTGGCCTGCCTCACCATCCCACTGCTCCTGCCTCGGACTGGGACCGCTCCAAAGCAGGAACTAGTTTCTCGTCCTAAGAAACGAAATGTTGCTCTGCTCCCACTCGTGCCGCGTGTATAGTTTTTGGCCTTTTTACTAGGACCTCTGTTTGGAATAGCCTCTGACTGGGACACGGTTGTCTTTGCAGTTGTTATGGTTCAGGTGTTGACAGCAGTTCCCGGGTGGGCACCCTGCCCTGTTTGCCTGTCTTTTTTCAGTTGAGCTCACAAGAAAATAATACTTCCTCTTCAATTTAGTTTTCTTGTTTCAGTGCATTTGAACAGGAATGTTTGCTACTAAGGAAAAAGGCATCCGTGCCGTGAGCTGGGATCCGTAACTGCCGTAACTACCCACATAGAGATCATTCTCACAAAGTCTATTAAAACTAAATGTCTCTTACTACGTCATTATTGCTTTGTCCTTTCTCTGTAAATGAAACTGGACTGTAAAAACAACTCCAGGAGTAGAGAAGTAGCCGTGTTACGTGCAGTTTATAGCAGGATGCACCAGTCGGTACAAAAGTCCAGTTAATTTCTACTTGTGACTGTTACGGTGCCAGCGAATGTTCCTGCCCATCAAGGGCTTAAATACCGATAACTTCAGAGAATCATACCAAGTTTGGATTGTTGCTCAGCTTTCTGATCTGTGCAGTCTTTACCATAAGCATGTATGAAACAGTACCGTCTGTTGGATGGGAGTTGCTCACGTGAGCTGTTTCGTCTCAGTAGTCAAAGATTTCTTTGCCTCACTCCCTGCTTTTTCCAAAACACATCTGTTGGAGATACAGTGGGAGATTTTATTTATCTCCCGAGACTGTTTGCAGACTTGCTGAATGAGCCCGTTACTTTAAACGGATTGACCCTTTGACTAATGAGTCATGATTTTCCCAGTGCTTAAATACTAATCCAGAATGAAAATCCAATTGGCTGCCGGAGCTGTGGACTCTTGGTTCCAAGTATTTAATTTCACTTTACTTTACCTATGAGACTGCGGTTGCTGAAGCTGTCTGGAATGTGAGTCACCTCAGTCTTCTGCTAAGGGTTCATAGGTTACTGCTAAAAATGTCTCTTGTGCTTTTACGTATGTCGATCTGCGCATCTCCTTTATTTTGGGGGAGTGGGGGGGGAGGAGGTGTTTAGGAAACTCTTAAGAGCTGGAAATGACATCAATTTATCCGTAGTATAGCATTTTCTACTGAATGAATTATTTTTAGATGCAAATACGCAGGTTACATTTTTTTTGTTTGACCCCTGTTATCCACGTGAGTGCTGAGAAAATTAAAGATGTGTCTCTGTTAGTTACAGGATGAAGAACGCAGACGGCAGCAACAGTTGGAAGAAATGCGCAAACGGGAAGCAGAGGACAGGGCCAGGCAGGAAGAAGAGCGCCGACAGCAAGAGGAGGAGCGGACCAGAAGAGAGGCTGAAGAAAAGGTTGTGGTCTTCCAAGTGCTGCAGGGTTCTTGCAGGCCTCTCTGCTCTAGCCTGGCCAGTGACAGCTCAGTGTTGGGTCAGCAGGGGTGGAACACACTAGCCTTAGCGATAATGGTCGTGGCCCAAGGCTTCGGTTTATTCGGTATTAAACAGAAAGTAATTAAATATCCCATTTTTGGTACCCAGAGTTGACCGGTATTGCAGAAGTAGTAGCATAGGCTTAGCAGCTGAAGGTTTTCACCAGTGGCAAGGGCTTGCCTTCACAGCCTTTTCTGAGTGTTACGGCAGAAATCCATTATCTCCTGGTTTCCTTCAGCTCCCCCAACTTGTCTTGCCTGCCGCCTTTATTGTAATGGCTGAGTTAGTGCTGTTGGGTGCTGCTGTGTCTCACAGAGAGCACTTAAGTACGCCTGCAGTAACTTTTTTACACAGATAGAGAGAGGAATATGAAATACAGTGGGGTGGTGAAGAGTATTCCATATCGTCTTGTGTCTGGGAGAAAAAGAAGTTGGTTTCTGGAAAGGAAGTCAATCATTTCAGCAGATAACTCACTGTGCAGTCAAACCGATCGTAAAAATTCAGGCTCCTGGGTTCCTTCAGAAAATTATGTGTGAATATGAGAAGCTTTATTGTTCAGAACTGGAAGACAAAGCACCTCATTTGACTCTTAGCGTGTTTAAGACCCTCTTCTTTCCTAGAGAAAGAAAGTTACTCTTCTTCAGACTGAAGACTTGCCTGTCAGTAACACTGTCTTCAGAATGAAGAAGGAGGGCTAGCTTTTAATGCCAAGAGAAGTTTCATCTTCTAAGATTGATGAAATATATTTTTAAAAAAACCCACCACCTTAAAATTATTTACTTGTTAATTTGTTTTGTTTGATGGGTTTCAAGCTTTGTTGGACTGTTTCCCATATGCAGTATGGGTTGATGTATAGAAGAAAACTAAGCTGTGGGGAGGTGATAGGTGAGAAGTGAGGATGATGTGTCTGGACTGAGGAAAGACTGGACACAGTATTTGCACCTTGAATCCTGGGCCCCTCACTCTAAGAAAGACACTGAGGTGCTGGAGCATGTCCAGAGGAGGACAGCAAAGATGGTGAAGGCTCTGAAGAACAAGTCTTATGGGGAGCAGCTGGGGGAACTGGGGTTGTTTAGCCCAGGGTTGGCTCAGGGGAGACCTTATTGCTCTCTACAGCTACCTGAAGGGAGGTTGTAGTGAGGTGGGTGTTGGTCTCTTCTTCCAAGTAACTAGCAATAAGATGAGAAGAAATGGCTTCAAGTTGCCCCAGGGGAAGTTTAGATTAGATATAAGGAAAACCTTCTTCACGGAAAGGGCTGTCAGGCATTGGAATGGGCTGCCCAGGGAAGTGGTTGAGTCAGCATCCCTGGAGGGATTTAAGAGACGTGCAGATGAGGTGCTTAGGAACATGTGTTAGTGGTGGTATCAGCAACGCTTCGTTACTGGTTGGACTTGAGGATCTTAAAGGTCTTTTCCAGTGTAAAAGATTCCGTGATTCTCATTTAGCAATATGCTGTAGGAAGATTTAAAAAAAAAACAAACCAACAAAAAAAAACAACCAAGGCTTTCTTAATTTTTGACAGTGATGCAGCCAAATGACGTTTGGATCACTCAAAGTTTTTCACCGAGAGATCTTGGCTGTGGCATTTGTACATCTACCAACTCAGAACTCGGTACCATCTGACCACTGCAGTGGTTTTAGAGAGTAGTACGAGGAGATGAGTTTCATGTCTCCGCTCTAGATGAGCAAGATCATATTTATTATCTTTTTAGGGTCACTGACTCATGGTGTTGAGCAGATAAGGTGGAATTTTTGAAGGATGGTTGTTCGGAATGTCGTGTATGCCCAGCAGAAGTTATACTATGCTTAGACAAAAGATTTCTGTGACACCGTTTCCAAGTATACATTTTAACTCATTATCGGACAAACTACTGAATAGACCCTTGTGTTAATTTACAGTGTGGCTTAGACAAGAGCTGGGTAGAATTAAATGCTGTTTAGGTTAAAACAGTAAATTTTTTTTACACTGGAAAAATACATAGAAGATATTTCCCATCCTTTTAAAATCAGTAGTCTCATAGAAATGTCATTAGCACAGGGGTTTTTAATTTTTTTTAGAAATGTTGTTAACAGACAGTTATTTGATGTCTGTTTTAGAAAAGTTCTTTGTCATTTGATTTCTATGAGAAAGTAGTTTTCCTGGTATTTATACTAGAAGCTTTGTTAGGAGCCATCTATTCCAAGGCCCTGTTGATTAACTTACATTGTATAAGCCTGCAGCCAAATTACAAGGTTCCTTCTTGAAGATGGTAGTTAACTTCAGTTATTTCCCTCTCCAACAGATTCTTTACAGCTTTGGTAAATCTACGCCATGTTAAGTTCAGTTACGTTTTGAGTAATAAATGCTGGAATCGCCCTTGGTTCGCACAGGCAGTCGTCTGAGTTACCAGAGGTAGTGGTGCATCCGGAAACAACAGCTGTGCTGCGTTACAGGACGACTGCCTATTTTTCCATAGTTGTAAATAGCGTGTGAGTCTGTGGAGATGCCCTGCTTAGTGCCTGAAAAGGAGAGCAACACAAGACCTTTGTGGCTTGGTGATGGAGAACTGAAATCTCTCTCAGATTGAAACGTCTGTCTTTCTGACCACTGTGTTTCTCTTTCCTCTGGGCTTACAGAGGCGACAGGAAGAGGAGTATTACAGTCGCTTAGAGGCCGAAAGGCGCAGGCAGCACGATGAAGCAGAACGAAGATTGCTGGAACCTGACGAGCCTGGTCTGTACAGACCTCCACTTCCACGGGAATATGAACTCCCATCCCCAACCCCTTCATCTAACGCTCCTCCTCCCCCACCTCAGCGAAACACCTCTTACCTCAAAACACAGGTCCTCTCCCCTGACACGATTTATACTGCCAAGTTTGTTGCATACAATGATGATGATGAGGAGGAGGAGGATTCCAATCTAGCAGGTCAGGATAAGTACTCCAGCACAAGAAAATCTTATGGTGACTTTCCTCCTGCCACCCTTAAGCCACAGCAGCCCTCCCGCCAGCCTCGCCCCGTTTCAGATGGCCTCTTTCTTTCCAACTCATTCCAGTCATCTCCAGTCAATGCCAACAGTACTACTGCCAAAAAAAGCCAGCCCCCGCCCCCACCAAACAAACCGAGTTTCATCCATGCCAGCAGCTCTAAAGGTAGACACCATGACATAATCGTCTCTACAGAACTGTCCTCATGTTTTCAACTCTGGTGCTGTAGATTGAAGCGCTTACTTTGTGATTTCACCTTCCCCACACACACACTTAATCACTATTTTCACTATGGTGATCTAACTTAAATCCTGATATTAATATGAATCCTCTGGTTTTTAATTGTTTCGATCTCTCCAATTCCCTTGTTCCTTACCCAAACTCCTCAAAAGCAAAAATTCTGTCTTTCACACACTGAATCAGAAATGATTTTAACCGTTACTCAACCAATTCGAAGTACTGTTGGTTTTGGCTTTCATCCTGTATCTTTCAGTGATTTGTTTTTGTATGACTGACCACTGGTTACTGAGAGCATCTGGAAGTGCACCTTTCTTGAACACAGGAATCTTTTTCCAAGGGGTTCATGGACAGAGCCTGTCTTCTGCTTTCATTATTGGTACCAGGGTTCTCTCTCTTCTAATAGTGTGTGCAAATGGCTTTAAGAATGACCTTGGTAGACGTGGTTCTTAAATACACAACCACCAAGAGACATACAGGACATGCAGTTAGTTTCATGTACGAGGCACCATTCCTCTACCTGTGATTTGTACGGTGCCGTTTCCTTGCAAAGCGAGACAAAAATCTAAATTTCATCTTAGTGCTTTTTACCTTCATCCCTCCCTCCCTTTCTGCACCCCTGTATTTCTTTGTCTCCTCATCTTGTTTCTTTTGTAACTTCGAAGTGGGCAGCTGTCACTGAGTTACGTTTGAAGCAGAGCTCTAGCTGCTAGTAATTTCAGCACCTTATTTCCTCTGCAGAGGACTAGTTTAGCTACGCTCATGGGTTCAAAGCTAATTCAGTCCAAAGTTCCATGCTAAATTTTTTTAAACTACGTTCTGTCTAGATCTCACTCACAAAAGTTTGCTGTTTATTAATAAAAGGTTTTGTCTTTCAATAGCAGCATCTGCCAGTGCTTCCCCTACGCTTTTTTCCTTCTGTGATCTTCTGAAGGGAATGGTGGCTGTGACATTCCGCTAGTTCATTCTGTTTGCTTGTGCTGGAAGTCAGCAAGTGCCCGACAACAAACTCCAGCCGATCAAATCTCTCTTCTAAAATGCGCTGGGGGGGTAGCCAGTCCCCTGAGGCAGCAGGGGAAAGCGTTCAGGCTGGCTTCTAGCTGAATGGCTGCTAACTTGTTTACTGGAGTCAAGTCTCGGTGACAGGTATGAAAGCCTATAACGTGTATTCCTGATCACCTTTCTGGCCACCTAACAGATTACGAAAATCACCTACTTTCTTTTTTCGGGGGTGTGGTGTGCCCTCTCACGGGGAGCACATGAGCCTCAAAACAGGTTCCATCTGTCCAAAGCACTTCCAACCAGCTGCAGTAGTGTTTGGATCTGACTTAGGATACGTGTGAGGCCGTACAGGTAGATGATACTCTGAGCTGCCTGTCTGCACCCTTTTCAGTTAAGGCTCAAGTCACCACTTTCCAGCAAGGCATCCTTTCCTTTGCAGGGCAAATTAGCTTCTGCGGCAGTCGGGCTGCTTCCAGTGCCGGAGAGAAGCTTTGCCCAGCATTGTGTGGTTTTAGTATCGCTGAAGGGACGGTAGTTTAGCTCAGTTACAATGCCTGTCCAACTGATGCAGTCGATGCTTAGCAGCTTGGCTGTTTGGGGTCAGTATAGCACCCCGGTTGCATAAGAAGTATCCACACTGATACTGGTTTAAAGGGAAAAAAACACCTGTTTATCCACTCTGTTGTTGCCTGTGAGATCTCGTGATGCAGTAGTCCCTACGGGTCCTGCAAGCCTGTCTGTCACTGACCACAACAGTGATCCCAAATCACGGGTTCATATCAGAAGGACTCTAGCTTTTGAGCACCTTGTATCACACAGAATGAATGAGTTAAGGTTAAAGAAAGACAGGAAATATTTAGAAAAGATTCTCTTTAAGCACTGTGACCAGCTGTGTTGTCTGCTTGCTGTTAGGAATACTCTGAAACAGCAGGCTTTTGACATGAAACTCTCAAACTCTGTGTCTGTGCTGAATTTTTGTTCTTTCAAAGGATTTTCTTTTTCTAGAAATTCTAGAAAACTGACTTAATAGAGTGTAAAATGTGCATTCCATCAGGACACACGGGCTTCCAAAGGCCCTCGCTTCCTTCCTTATTTGGCACTTTCAAGGCTGTACCTGTAATGAATTAGTAACTCTAGAACCACCAGTCACTAGCTCTCGCCACCACTCTTCCTGCCTCCCATCATCTACCGTCCAGAATGCCATTTGATATGTGATTGCATTTCCCAATCCTGCTTTCTGTTAATTTTAATGGAAAAAGGAATCTCAGGAAAGTGAAACGTTCAGTGATACTTTTGTGTGCGCGCATTTGTGTCTCCTGGAAAACAATCAGAAGGACAACCCACAAAGATTTGGTTAGGGTTTTGGTAACCATTAAGGAATATCGTAGTATGATGCTTCGCCTTTAATAACCTAATTCATAAACCATACAACTAATTCTGAATACTCTTATTTCATAATTTTTAAAATAGCCGTGAGAACAGGTTAACTTCACCTGATTGCTCAAGCTGCTGTGAAGACTGCCTGCGTAACGTACAAAGCCGTTTGCACAAAATGCAGAATTCACTGTGCAGTTTACCATCTCCCATCTCGCTGACTCTTTCTTACATTACTGTCCTCTACAGCTCTTTTCTGTTCTGAATGTTAACTCCAGTAAAACCACGCTTCTGCAAATTTTGCTCTCGTGCCTTCTTCCACTGGGGGCTCTTAAGACCATTGGGTCTGTCGACCAACCAAGAAAAAAGCCCAGACCCAAATCAAAACGACTGTCCTAAAGCAGGTGGAAGTGTGAACCACAGCATGTGGATCCGGACTTTCCAAAGTAGGGAAGTTGGCGCCTGTATAAACCTTTACATGCCTGGCCCTACCTACTGCGATTTGCACTGCCACGGATTTCTGGTGGGGAAAAAAGATGTAGCCTCCGACACGCTAGCTGAATCGACTGGTGTGTCCTAGGCTCCGGTGTCTTTTCTTGGATATTTCAGAAGTTCCATACACCAGTGGAAGAGGCAAACATTTCCTTCTGTACCGAGCAAGGTTCACAAGACATAACACGTACAATATTGAGACGAGAACTGCCTGGAGACAAATCTGAGTGTTGGGCTGACATCTTTCCCTGGCGGTTACTAAGAGAATATGGTCTTAAATATAGATTGAATCATTACACTGTTTGATTGGAAGGAAGAGGTTTTGTCTTGTGGCCTTTAGAAAGAATTAATATAACGTGTAAAACCTGTGTGTTGTATCAACCTGAACTAAAGGTGCAGTGCTGCAAGATACTTGCTTGAAATTTAAGTTGGGGGGCATTTTCTGACTGATAGAGTTTATTTAATCAGACTAAACAAGAGACAAACATTCTGACTGCTGAATTGCAAAGGTGTTATAAACTGAGCTTAGCTTACTTTTGGCCTCACAGAGAGAGCAGCTGCAGCTAACTTATTTCCTGTGGAGCTTGTTACAGGATAACGAAGCTCCTTCTGTCAGTCTCCCTCAACAGCTCCTAATGTCTGTCTTACAGTAAGCTTTGATACGATAAAGACCGTGATTTGATATGTGCTTGCTGGATAATCTAAGCAAGACATGTTCCGACATAAAATTAGGAATAAAAAAAATTACAGCTGTTTTTCGGGGGCTTGGAATTTAGTAGTACTGGTTTTAAATATTCTACAGGTCAGCTGACCCTCTAAATTTATTTCTGATTCTCGTTTGAGATTATTTCTTGTGAGAAGCACTGCACCTTTTCGAGGAAACACAGTATGAAACTTTTGTGTTGTAACTGCAATCCTTCAACTTACCTTTTCTTTTGCATAAGGAATAAATTCATACACTGGATCTACGGGAGCAGCTGTTGGGGCCCATGAAGTTTATCGGGATCCAAGAGACAAAAGATCTAAAAGGTGACATGCAGCAGGTCCATTAACTTTTATACACTTGGGTGACTTCTGCAGTGTTTGCCGTTGTTGCGATATCTCTGTGGGCTGTTCAGGAGTTCTGCAGTTAGCTCTGCGGTATCTCGCGTTACTGTAAAACGCAAACGAGTCCTCCACGAGTCTGGGTGATCTGAAGTAATGCTTCACAGCTGCAGATTTCAGTGCTACAGCTGAGTAAACTCACTGTAAGCGAACAACGTCAGATTTATAAATGCACCTAAAAGAGTGAACAGTACTTCCCAAGTGGGATTCTCACCAGGTTTGCAATAAGCATAAATAACACGGGCTGTGCCTTACGAGGCAGCGGCAAGCCTTGCTGTGCAGCGTACGGAAGATGTGACTGGGCTGGGGTACGGTAGAAGCTGTTAGCCCGGTTCCTGCATTTTAAAATGTAGGTCCTGTTTCAGTGGAGTGTGCTGAGCAGAGACCTCTTGGAAACCTCTTTTGATCAAGAAATTGTTTGTACTGAAGCTTCAGTGTGTGAGAGTTAATCACGTATGTAAAGCGTTGTTACGGCTGCAACTGAGAATGGTTCAAGGTCTTCACTGTGGTGGTTGGGCACGTAACACAAACACTGGTTTGCTACAAGGAGAAGAGGTGGTGCAAGAGCTTAAGCAACAATTGCGCTTGGAAAGCCTTGCCAGTGTGGAACGAGACACAGAGGTGTTGCAGCCGCGCACGCAGACCCCGCTACTGGCAGCTCTCTTTACCGAGCTTTGTATTCTGGGGCTTCTTCCTAGGCGCATGCCCCATGGCAAGGCTCGCTGGTTTAGTGGGAACAGCAGTGCTGTGCTCGTGTAGAGAGAGCCTCCTTTACACCTGCACTTTGCTTTGAACACGGGCAAGCAGTTTCGTTCATGTTAACGTGCCGGAGGTGGCTCCTCAGCCATTCGTGTGTCTGAGTGTGGGGGACAAAGCCTTGCAGAGCACTAGATGGAGACTCTTCTGCCGTAGTCAAAAAGGCTACCGGTCAGTACATGTCAGTAGGAGTTGCTGTATTGGTGGGTATTGTGTGTAAGGATTATAACAAAGGCGCCTTTTTTTCTTTTCCCCCCTGTTTCCAGTCAAGATACGGATTTACCTGGAGCACCAGAAAACTTGACGTTCCGGGAACGCCAGCGACTCTTTTCACAGGGTCAGGATGTATCCAATAAAGTAAAAGCTTCTAGGAAATTGATGGAACTGGAAAACGAGTTGAACACAAAGTAAGATTGAAGCACCTTACCGGATGTAACTGAAGACCTCTAAATTGAGGGATTGAGATGGGGGGCGCACGCTACTAATGAACAGAAAATGAATGTTTTCTGAAAGGAGTGACTTTGATTCCTCTCTATCTAAGACTGTTAATTAAGACTTAGAGATGTTGCAATAGCAAGAAAACTGATTACTTTGCCAGGAGCTTGTGGTTTATACAATGAAAGCACTGTAAAATTTTAAAGATATGAATTACGTGAAGGTTACTTTTGTTTTCTTTCTGTTTTGGGGGTTAAGTTCTTGTGCACCAGACCAAGTAGCACTTGTCCAAGATAAGTTCTGTTTCCTGGTGTTTTACAGACACACTTTTGTTTTAGCTGCTGAGCAGAGAGAGTGAGAATAGCCTGAACTGCCTAAACTAAACTGTGCACTAGAAACTAGGATTTTAGGTTGTTCGATGAGAAGCCAATAGCTGGGCCACCTTAAATAAGACTTTATACTCAAGTCTGACCTACGACGTGGTGTTCGTACAATGATCAGTGCGGATCTGGCCCTCACTTAGTGCTGGAATAACACACGCTCTGTAGGGAGAACCTTGAAATAAAAACGTTTCTAGTCCTGCGTATCTGTTGGGTCTGAAATGGTTGCGTAAGCATTCATCTGTAGTTACAGAAGTCTGTGTGTTGATGCATCCCCGCTGCAAGTGCTTCACGCTCTGAAAACACTGCAGAGCAAACCCTTGGGTAGTGGTCTTACTAAAAATTACATCAGCAGTAGGTGGTGGGCTACACTGGTGGCCCTTCATCCGTTAGGACCAAAATGTTCCTGAAGCATTAAAGGCGAGGAGTAACGATTCCAGTCCCGAGGTGAGCAGAAGCGTTTGTTTTCTGAGCGAGGTAGGAGGTCTTAGGCAAGGAGCACTGCTGATCAGTCTGCTGTCACCAGTTCAGCAGTATCTTTCTCTTCGTATGGAGAGGCGACCTGGCATGTCCGTGTGAAGCGTGACGTGCAGCGCTGCTGGCTGGGAGTGGGAACGTCGGTCAGGTCGGTAGCGGGCTTGGCGCGCTGGCAGCGGGCCGTCTGCTCACGCTGAGGAAGCAGCGCTAGCGAGCTCTTCCTTGGGCCTCACTGGCTTCGCTGGCGCCCTGCTACTGTTGTACCCAAGTTCCTCTGGGCAGTTCAAGCTATTTTTTTCACACTGTAATAGCCTTATTTAATTTTAAACTGTTAATCTTCTTCCTCCCACTATTTCTTCAGCTATGCGTATGTGGCTGATGACATTGGGAATAAGGACCTCATCTGAGTTTTTCTCATTGTGTGACGTTAAGACAATATATATTGTGATTCCAAACAAATTTTCTATTTGACAAAGCCCTTTACTGGCTTTAGATGATTTTTGTTTTCCTGTATCATATTGTTCTCTTATAAATATATATTTAGGGAATTGTGCACACTTCCAAATACAAAGGGGTAGACTTTCACTGCCTTAGGAAAGAAATCACTTTTAATAAGAGTTGTATGATAAATAAATGCAAGTTAATGAAAATTGGAGTGTAAATATTTTTTACGTATTTCAGGTTTCTTATTTGAAAGTGTGCTTTTACCGTTTCACCTGTTAAATATGAAGTAGAAGATTAAACTGGTTCAAAGTGTTAATGAAGGATCTGCATGCTTGCTCTGTCTGTTAATCAGGAAAAGCAAGCCTCTCCCAATTTATCTTGAGAACACTAGCAGCCTTACAGTGACAAATTTTTCTTGAGGAAGAAAACCCTTATGCTGTGGCTGGATTACTGTTGCTGCTAGAATCTGAAAAAGGCTTAGCAAAAAATACACCCATAACCTTCAGTCGAGTGGATTTGGCCGCTATTGGGCATTCGGGTCAAGTGTGAATATGTGTAAAAGTGCTTTTCATATTTGTCTGTGCATTATTATGAGAAACATCAAAACTGCTGTAGTTTCCCATTTCTACTGTATTTCACTTGCAACCTATTTTTAATAAAGTTTGTATTGTATTTAACTTTGCATTAAATGTTTTTTGTGCTGTCTGTTGCTCAGTCCTGCATTCATAGCAACGCTGTCGTAAACCGAAGGGGCTCTTGTTAATGCATTTTGCCTTACCTGCCATTTTATTTGCAAGCAAAGTCGGTGCATCTCTTAATGAATAAATGAAAACCCCAGTGTTATGTGGAGAATCAACGAAGGAGGATGATTCTCACTGCTCACAGGGGAGAATTTCTTGGCCTAAAGTTGTTCAATATCCGTAGCGGTGGCTTGAAAGAAGTGTTTTCTTCTTCTTTCCAGCAACCAGTAGTAAATATCAGTGGTGTCCATTCTGCGGGCTAGTCGTACTGCGTTCGCATCCTCCTCGAGCGCAAAGCTGTACTTCCAGCCGCGACGAGGAGCCTGGAGTGCGGCCTCTTTGGGAAGAGTAAACAGTGTTACAACCAGAGTCCTTGTGGTGATGGCTGTGGCGGACTCAAATTCCATGTGTAGTTCTGAATGAAGGCTGAGTTAGAGAAATGAGTTTGGGAGAGGTGGTGCTCCTCTGCTATTGCTGGATTGGTACAGTTAGCTGACCCGACTCCTGATGGGAGTTCTGCTTGGGGAGGGAAGCAGGCCTGGGTGAAGCGCTGTAGGCGCTTCTGCAGTAGCTGAACGTTGACCGGAGCCGGGATTGAGAGCCACCTCCTTCGCTTCCCAGGTCAGTACCTTAATCTCTTGAGTTGTGAGGTCTGCGGTCTGGAATTCTTGAACTCCCTAGTGATGACTTTCTGGCTTTTAGCATGAGGCGTGTATAAAGGCGGGGAAGAAGCGAACCATAGAAAGGGCTGTGTAGTACATCATCCTCCGTTAGGCGTGTATAAAGGCGGGGAAGAAGTGAACCACAGAAAGGGCTGTGTAGTAAGTACATCATCCTCCGTCGCACAGCTCTGCGTATTCTAACTGACGGTGACCCTGACGGTGTGAAATTACATTTGCATATGCAGCCAGGTGTCCCAGCAAAGACTAATTGTTTTAAACCTCTTGATTTCTCCCTTCTGCTCCTATCATTCACCTACACCACTTTTCAACTGCTTGCATGTACTGTTGGTTCTACTGTCTTGCTGGCAATTGTGGAAAAGGCAGGGAAATTAGGGAATTGACAAAGTCCACAGCGTATGTCCCGTTCACTGAAAACAAAAACTATACACTTGATCGCACAGATTGCTGTTCCTGGGTCAAGCAAAGAGTACACAAGGCACAGAATACACAAGACCCTTCCTTACCTCCTAATTTCAATTAGATAACGTGAAAAATCCTAACAAAAAATAGCGATGGTAAAAAACGAGCTCCACCAAGAATAGTCTTAAAACATGTAGTAGTTTGATAGTAAGAGTGGGAAACCATTTGGCTCTTCCTCTTGTTCTGTGAAATGATACTGCTTGTCTTGGACAGTCAGCTGGTGGCTGTGTGGTGCAGAAGCCGAAGCCTTGCGGATTAAAACTTTGGAGCGCGGGCTGACGTTCTCCCCAGCCGTAGTGGAGGAAAACTTGAGGAGATGGAATTGCAATGCACCTGCTCGGAGGACCTCTGTGTATTCCTGGTAACGGGTGGGTGTTCAGAACTGACCTTCAGTTACCGAAGCAAACACCTTGCAAGAAATGCGGAATGAAATACAGCTTCGCGGAGCAGCGTTGGAGGAGGTGTAAGTGATGGGCCACGCGCAGTGCTCGGTCACAAACTACTGTCCATGGAGTGTGGCGACGGCGCTCTTGTGCAGCGGTAGGCAATCCGGAGGCGTACCGTGGTGGATCTCTCCGTGTGTGGCACAAGAGGGACAGCCACCTTCTCGGTGCTTTTCCCCAGTGCTTATCTACCCGTTTCGTTTCTAGTAACAGCACTTGGGGATGCTGTAATGGACAGCTCGTATCAGAATGCTGGAGCTGGGACCTCATCGGTTCCACTCCTGGGGTTAACGTGAAATGCAGCAGCAGTGTTCAAGACAATGCTTGCTTAGAAACATCTTAAGGTTTGTAACTCACCACGGTATTTCACCAGTGCTAAAAATTAATAAAGTGTAGTTTCGGGCAATTTAATGATGAACTTCTGTCCCTCTGGCTCTCCAGCAGGATCTGTAATAAGGGAAAGCTCTGCATTTGCAAGGGGAAGATGCGATCAAGCTGGCAGAAGTTTGGGGAGAGAACCTGAGATTCTTCAAAGCAGAGAATCGGTGTAGAAAGGTGTGCTGGAATGGAATGTAGCCCTGCTGCATTGCCAGAAGGTAGCTAGATTTTATGTTTGTCTCTTGCCCAGATCACACTGACAGACTGTTTTGATCACTGCCCATCAAGCAAATTCCCCTGAGCCTTGGAAACAGAAGGAGGTTCCCAAAGAAGAACTGCTGCTGTTACGGTGAGTCACAGATCGTACTGTGATTGATTGCTTGATTGGCAGATGGGACGGAGCATTCAGTACTATCCAACTTTCAGGTGTGCATAGAGAAATTATTACATAACAGCAGTCCAGGGATAATCTGGTTTTGGTCAGCGGTTCAAAGTCAGAGCGATAGTAAACCATTTTCTCTGTTACAGCCCACAGAAACCAGATCCTTAATCCCATTCACAGTGGGTGTGAAGCCCATAGTAGGGGGGAGAACAACCACTAAGCTTCAGAGATGGTCATTCTGAGAGGAAGATGAGTTACGTTGGAAAATAACAGTTCTGACTTGATTGCTGCTGCAGGATAAGCATCACATACAGAGACCATGGCTCGGTGTTAACAATTCAGTCGCACCCCCACAGCCTACTAAAATATTCTCCCCCAAATAGCTGATAAAATCCCGTCTGCCTGCCTTAGTGCCAACATCTCTTGCCATCCTCAGTACCTGCAGTACTTTGGAACTCCCTTTTTTTAGCCTAAATCCGTTTGTCGGTTTTTGGTTTTCCACCAATGCAGAACTAGTTGCAAGGACAAACTGATGAGGGGCTTCCAGTGAGTTTGGGTTTGGTTTTTTTTTAACTGAGGCTAGAATTGATGGGAGGAAGTTGCAGTATCACAGAAAACAGTGGGTAGAGCTGCACAGAGATGTTTGATTTGGTCTGTGAAAGACTGGCTGCATCTGGGTTCCTCTGTAAAGGATTGCTGTCCCTCTTGTGCCAGACAGACAGTCAGTGCTGTATGCCTTTGGATTTTCTGCTGCCTGTATGACAGGATGTTCACCACGTTCAGCAGACAGTAACTTGAGACTGCTGTTTTGCAGAACTGGATTCCTCTGTAATTATGATGTTGGCTTCAGTTTCTCAAAAATACCCTCAAACTGTACTGCAGTGTTATTTCCAGTTAAAACCAGTGTTATTTCCCACTTCCAATAAGCTGACATGTTTCTGTCTGACATACTTTCACATGTAGCAGCCTGCTTGCAAGATAATGCTATTTTTTCAGTGCAATACAGCGGAGCACCGAGCAGTGTTACTAACATATGTCACATACTGGCCTCAGAAGCCTTACTATGAGACCTCCCCAGACATAGCTCCTGTCTTGGGCAGCCTCTTAGGACTCCCACACCAGCTGGACCTGCAGGCTTTGTCCCTCTCCCTAAGAAGACCAGCCCTCGACACTGGCTTTGTTCGCAGGGTTACTGAACAGCTGAGGCTGGAA